ACCACCTTGTTCGCGGACAAGAGTGGTAACAGGATTACTCCGAAGGTCCTGCACGAGATTATGGAGGACACGGCTAAAGTTCCGGAGTACTCCTGGGGCTCGGCTACACTAGCATACCTATACAGACAGTTAGGTGTTGCCAGTAGGGGGGACGCCAAGGGACTGACTGGCTGTTTGGCTCTCCTGCAGACCTGGATTTTCGAGTACTTCCTGCCCTTTCGCCCCCACGAGGCGCCCCGGCCTGTAGATGGCTCTCCCGCACGTTCTACCTGGTGGAGCACGGCGGTAACTCAGAGGTCCGCAGACCGCCTTCAGGGTTACCGTGTCGCCCTTGACCAGCTCAGGGTGGACCAGGTACGTGAATGTTATAAGTGTTATTTACATTTTGTTAAATATTATTTTATAAAAAATATGAGTGTTATAATAAATGTTTGTGTGCAATTTTGAACAGGTGAACTGGTTGCCGTACGGCCGCAACCCCGCTGATATCGAGGCTAGGACCCTCTATGCCGGGTGCATTAGGTACCGCGACATCGTGGAGCCCTACAATCCTTTGCGGTTGTTGCGTCAGCTGGGCTACGTCCAGCGTATCCCTCCCAGGATCCTTCGGCCATCCAGTGTAGTACGGGCTTGGGAGTCTCGGTTGTACAAGGTCGAGCACTCTGCAGAAGCTGCAGATGATTCCTGGGACGATTTCCCGCAGCTGTCAGCCGTCAACCTGGCTGCCTACACCCCCACCACAGTTACACCAGGGGAGGTCGAGCCGGGGTACTCCGAGTGGTTCGCTCGGGTTTCTCGTCCGAAGCTGTTGGGTGGCGATCCCACGGAGCCTCCCCCAGTCCCTTCGCGCGTCGATGCATCTTATGTAAGTCGTTTATTTATTTTTTTTTGTTATCAATGTGTGCTTTCATTATAATGTTTATTTATTGTAACTCTTCGATTCGTGGATAGTGGATCAAGCGTTTCGACGACGTCCACTCTGCGTACATATCGCGGTTCGAGCGTGTTGATCCTGTCTTGACGAAGGAGTATGTAGACGCTTGGTCCGTAGTTA